CATCAGGGGCATTCCACAACGGGTCTTGTTGCAATCTCGACAAAAACGCCAAGGGCGGAGAAACAAAGTCATCATCACTCACAGAACATAAAGCCTCACTAGGAGCACACTGCACCCCCTTGGCCTTCTTGCCTAGCAAAGGAAAAAAAAAAATCATCCACACATGTAGCTGACAATGAAACGAGCACACCCAAAAAGTTAACAACGCACACATCTTAACAAAATGCCACCTAACACTACCTAATTAAATTCGAATAACACAGGAAAAATTTAATACACCCAATTAAAAATGCCACCACACAATAAAGTACATACTAAAATCACTATAACTGAACAGACATGAGGATTTATCACTACAATACAATATGAAAAAAAACAAGTAAACAGACATGGACATTTAATAAACCAGTAACCATTAAATAGACACGCACACAGGGAAACACCAACATGCACATATTCAAACACCCACACCCAAGCCGCCCAACATGCTAAAACCAAAGCCGATACATAGAATTGGCCAATTGTTCAACAGCCAAACCAACAACAAACACCTACCCCGAATCAATTATCCATCAAATACTATCCCAACTAGCACAAACATACAAAAAATATTAAAAGGAAGAACCCAACCAATGTTACAAACAACTACAAAACCCAAAACTGTGAACCTAAAAAACACTACCAACCGTAAGAAAAACAGATGAAAAAAAAAAACCACTGTGATACAAAAAAAAAAAAAAAGAATAAAAACGAAACAAAACAAAAAAAAAAAAAACCAAAACATATATCAGAAAAAAAAAAAAACAAGTGAAAAAAAAAAAAAAAACGCCACAATAGACCGGAAACTGGCGAAATCCGACACCAACACCCCGGAAACAACCCACCGCCGACGACCAACAACCAATCCCCCAGCCAAACACCATAACCAGTCCCCCACCGCAACAATAAACTCCAAAACAAAACCCACACCCCAACTATCACAGCCATCAAACCACCATCAAACCCCCACCCCACTGCGGACACCTACCCAGGACCAAGAAACAGACACCAACAATAACCCTAGCTATCAAATGCGGCAAAAAAAAAACACAATACCCGCCACCCGAACACACCACCAGACCTACCGCCCAGCAAACACCAAAACCACACAGGTTTAACAAAATATATTGCACAAAAACACAAAACCCCCCAAAAAAAATCACAATATACAAACCAACTAATCTTGCCCGACAACCAGTGGACCCCTCCTCTTCAGTGTTACGCGGTCCCCCCCCCCCCCCCCCCCCCCCCCCCCCGACAACCATGGCTACGTGTAATTGAAGACCAGAGAAGCAAACTCGTGGAAGAAACGCATGATGCGAAGCACAACACCCTCCCCTACGAACGAACACAAAAGAAACGGCAGAGGAAATTGAATGCAGATCATGCGCGTGAAAATAGGAATACAAACGTGTGTAGGTTTTAATCAGAAGTAAAATTCCAAACCTACCCCCCTTAACATAAAAACCCATCAAATTAGACACTAAACCCACACGGCAATCACAACCATCGAACTGCTAAATCTAAAGGCCAATAATAGTCCACACGTTTGTATTTTAACATGTGTTTTCACCTGAATGTAATTATATATATATATATATATATATATATATATATATATATATATATATATATATATATATATATATAATCAAATACAAATGCTTCTACCGGTAAAAAATGCACACAATTGTTAACTGTAGATGTATTTCAAATCAAGAGTCTAGAAGAATATTAATTAAAAAACATGAGGTGGTATAATTGTAATTTTGAGTAAGTCAGATTGTCTTTTGTATCTGAGTGTACATTTTTCTTCTTCGAGTGCACATTTTTTTCTTTTCCAAGTGCATATTTCTCTTCTTCGGGTGCAATCTGTTTTGTTTCACTACTTAGTTTCTCCTTTGAGTGCATATACCTACAAGTGCACGTGTGTCTTACTATTGTGTTAAAAAAGGGAAAAATTGCATCTTTAGTCGCTGAGTTATAACTGAGTCGAAAAAGGGAAAAGTTGCATCTTTAGTCGCTGAGTTATAACTAAATTCCATCTCTTTTTTTATGCTACTGGCTCTATTACAATGTAGTATATGTTCATATACTTTCTCAACCTACTGAAACACAAAGAACCAATAACGCCTCCACTGAGGCTCGAACTCACAACCTTCAACCTTCCAAATAGAAGTCCAACTCGGGTACCATTAGACAACATAATCTTGGTCCGAGTTTAATCTCTTAGTTATGAGCAAAGTGGCGAGTTTGTTCCCTGACGCTAGTGGTGTGTTGACAAAGTTAAATCCAGGGATAAAGAAGTAAATTCCTTAATAAAACTTGTAAACTTAGCCAAAATACTTTCTCCCAAATCGGCAAATGCCCTAAGTTGCTACCCTACTCCCCATTTTTCTAAAAAAAAAAAAAAAAATCAAATTTCAATATGTCAATGCTATTTATAAAAAAAAAAAAAAAGCAACTTAAATTACAAGCAACAAAAATTTGCTCCATAACATGGACAAGCTTGGTATCTTTCCCTCGATTAACATAACTCCATGACATTTTAATGGGTAATAAATTATCACATCTACATCAAAAATTATCCTCAAAGTGGGAGAAATATGAAGTACCACGACTAAGAGATGACATCCTATAATTAATGGCTAAATTAGTTTATCAATACGGAGAATATTGATTATTTATTTAAGCATATAAAATAAAGAAACAACTTATCTATGGAGTTATACATAATTTTGTACCTTCAAGTGCACATTTCGTTGGCTAAATTTCTAAAGCATATATAATTAATGGCTAAATTAGTGCATAATTTTTGCATTCAAGTGCACATTTTTGTACGTTCAAGTGCATGGTTTTGAGCTTTCAAGTGCACATTTCGTTTAGAATTTCTTTTAAGAGAGGCATTAATCATGGAAACATTTCGTATAGAATTTCTTTTAACCGCATTTTCGCACAGGAAGAAGCCTTCGCACTTGATCCTAAACCTATATATATATATATACATATATATATATATATATATATATATATATATATATATATATATATATATATGTTTGAATCAAATGAAATTGTTTCACTTTTAATTTTTTTTTTTTTTGAATTCAAATTCAAAAAAAAAAAAATTAAAATAATCCAATATCCCGATTGGCGTAACCCGATCCTTAGATCGGTGCAATTTGATCTCCTTATCATGTTAAAGTTCGACCCTTACATCCAGGGACGGAGTTAGAAAATTTTGTGAGTGGGGGCGAAGTTTAAATAACGTTAAAAATGTCAATTACAAAATATCAAACAATCGTAATATGGTTAAAAAATACAAAATACATTATAAATTACAATATAATGTTTTTGATATATTACACGATAGTTAGAGTCGGAGCCAAAAATATACTTGAGTGGAGTGACAATGTGAAAATATTTATGACAACATATGAAACATAATAAATTAGATAAAAATAATTTGAATCATACTATATTCATAAATACGTTTTAATTTAATTTTTTTAGTTAGATCAACTTTAAGTTTTTCTAAATTAATTCGAATACAATGAAGTATAATATAAACTTGTATATTACATTAATTGAATGATTCCTTAAAAGTAGGCTAAAAAAATATTTATCTTGGAAAGGTATGAAAGTGATAAAATAAACAAGTGAAGATAAGAAAAATGTTGTTAATGAGATTTGAACCTATGACCATAGGCTTTTTTAACATATATAATAATAAACTTCAACCAACTAAGCTACTCAAACTATTATCAATTTGAACATAAATATTTATTTTATATAACATCTAATGCTATATATATATATATATATATATATATATATATAAAGGGGTGGGATGGGGGAGTGGGGGCAGCTGCCCCCACACTAGCTCCGTCTCTACTTAGATCGTGAGCAAACCCAATCCTTAGATTGGTAAAAGTGAAACTCTAAATCGCAATTAGCACGATCTCTCGATCATAGCTGGCATCTCGATCGCCAGATCAGTAGAGTTCGATCTCTCAAGTCGTGTTGCAAATTCGGCCCTTAGGCCGATAAAATCCAGGCAACTCCTTATAATCCAAAAGATTGTGCCTAAGGTTGTGTTCTTTTTTCCTTAGCTAAAAATTTTTTCTCACTGAGTTTTTTTCTTAGCCTAAGGTTTTTAACGAGGCAACTGGCGCATGTCACGGACTGTTTAGTCAGGTTTTTCAACCCGAACCCTTCCTCATTAGCTCAACGTCAGGGCACGGGCTGGGGGGCTACTTGATAGGGAATGTACCCCAGTTTTGACTTCCCTATACGTCCGTGTTCTTGTTTTGTAGTCGGGTCGAGGTCAAACGATTCGGATCCCGGTCCACTGGTCAAACTCAAACCCGTCATGCTTATGCTTATATAAGGGGCATAAGCCCTTCATTTTGAGGGTTCTTTTCTTCGGATCTCTACTCTCTCTCTCTCTAAACACTATCTACTCTCCAGATTTTCCTCTCTCTATTGATCATAGACTTTAATACAATTTTTATACATTTTATACATTGTCTGTACGCTAGAAATACATGGACTAATTTTCCATATCAGTGGGAAAGATTTTAAAGGAGGTGATGAGAAATGGGAGGAGGTTAGGTTTAATTTCTTAGGGAAATGATTTATTTTGACTAGGGTTGAAATAAAAAGATTATTTTGTCATTTTCACGGCCAACACGAAATATATTAACGGAAGGACTACGACAGATCGATTTCGAAACTTGAAAAATCACGACATATCGATTTGAAAGTTTAGGATTAAAGGTGGCAAAACCACCAAACTCGGACGACCTTGGCTGGCATTTACTCAAATTATGAAATATTTCCATTTTGCTAGTAACAGGAAGAGTAAAATCTCATCACATCTTCATATATTCTATTATATTGCAACTTTAAAAACTGTTGCTATATCCTTAGATCAGCATGCATGGAAGCTTACGAAGGAATGTCATTAAACAAGAACTACTTTATAAATCAAAGAACAACTGTTCACAAGAAAACATTAGTTCATTTTCAAATCTTTGTAAAACAAACTGCTCTTGAGGTGTTATAATGCTGGTAACATAACACTTCTCATCTGAAAAAGGTTTCCTACCAGCCCTTCCAGCTCGATGGAGATAATTCACTGCATCCTTTGGCAGATTAAAATTGTATATGTGTGTTGTCCCGGGCAAATCAACACCACGGGCTGCTATATCTGTTGCCACTAAAAGATGGCTACTTCCTTGTTGCAGTTCCTGATTCCAAGTAACATATATCAAGTAGATAACAAAATCACGAATCCTGGCCTAAGTTCAACACTCCAAGCTCAAACTACTTACGAATATTAACGTAGACACATCTAAGGTTGACAGCAGTACTTACAGTCAAGGATGCTGCTCGCTGATTGAAATTCATGTCTTCCTCGAGTAGACTGATTTCGGAAAACCCCACCAGAGAACTCTTTAGAAAATTGACCAAAAGAGTAGTTGGCGGTGGATCTCCAGCTTTTTTTGACTTCTCAGACTGTTGATGGTGATAGAAGTGTATTAGTAAAGAAAGTATAATATGACCAATGTTGCAGAAGGCGCTAGTCGGGCGTCGGGGGAGCGCCCAGGTGGCTGCTTAATTTTTAAAAAAAAAAAAAAAAAAAAAAAAATCCGGCCGACTAGACTGAGTTTGGAGCCGAGTTGGCTGACTCGGCCGCCTAGATCGCCTAATCGGCCGGCCGACTAGCAACAGCCTACACTCCTTTTCGCCTCGGCCTAGGGGCGCCTAGCGCCTAGGCGGCCGCCTAGGTCGATTTTTACAACATTGAATATGATTCAAACTAAAATGTAGAAACCGCCAACGTAAGGAGACTACAGAGTTATAGATACTTACTTGCACACCAACAAAGACTATGGCAGAATGAGGTTCATCTGACTTTAAAAGGGAAAGCAATGTTAGATACCTTTCTCCTTTACTGCATACCTGACTCCTCAAAGAGTATCAAAAAATAATGAAGTCAAGTAAACCATTTCTGAACAGATATCATCAGAATTGGACAAACAGAATGAAAACTAAGACCAGCAATTGATAATTGTCAGCTACAAGTTGGTTAATTGACTGAAGTGATATTTAAAAACAAGATATATGAGTGTGGGATAAACTATAAAGAAAAGATCAACTGAAAATATGAATTATCCTACAATAATGTCAGAGTGTTCCTGCAAGTAGAATGAAGACATGGCAAGAACAAAGAGGGGTACCCAAACAAAAACCAAATAAAGTTCCTGAACTTCACTCACCACAAATCTATGATGCAGACAGGATGGCATTGGCATAATTGGATTCACATATAAATGAACTACATCTTCCTGTAATAAACTCACAAGCACTAAAATAGGTAAGCACGTCCCCTATGCTGAAAACTAGATTGTATATCTCAACATGTTCAAATCTACTAGCAAACCTTTGTCCATTTCTGTTGTACAGCATCATATAAAAATCGCCTATGCTGGGGAATTGAGGCACTAGCAAAGATAGTTTGACGACTCTTTCTACATGAGTATGATGTCAAAAGCTTCCGAAGAGAGCTCACATGTTTTGAGGAATTGAACATGAAATCAACCTTAAAAAAATAATTGATTGTGTCATTGCCATTCCAAATAATCAACAAGCAGCCATTGTATTTTTTTAATTTAGACCTTTAGCTAAACAGTAACAAAAAAAAAAAAAAGCATATTAATTAAAATTTAAATTGATTTATAATAGCAGTTAAATACTTAAAATCTATTGATAAAACTTAATTTAACCAAAAAAAAAAGTAGTATGAAATTGTGAGACACAATGTGCACCATTCATTTGTACTTAATAGCTTAGATTAAGAAGATTTGGAGAGTAAATAATATATCTTTAAAAACTTTCTAGAAGCAACCACATTATAGTATTATCCGCTCTTGGGAGAAAAATTCTGTTTCTGTTATAGAAGAAACTCATCTTAGTATGTTCAGGGAATTAGATATTTAGATATAAGAAATATAGCTAGAACTACTTCATTAGTTCATTACCTCATCAATTACAAGCACCTGCATAGCATCTAACTTTAAAATATTCTTCTCAAGCATTTGAGTTAAACTTCCCAAAGTTGCAATCACAATAGTAGGAGGCTCAGCCTGTGACAATGAAAACACTAGTAAGGCTACTAAGATAAATTAGTTGTCTGAAAATTTTCAAATCAGCAGAAATCGTCAATAAAAGCAGCAAAACAAGTTCTGCTGTTCTGTACCTTTAACCAACTCTTATGTCGCTTCAAGGTTCCACCATCCAAAAGAGCCATAATAGTGCATGACTTCTCCCCAGAATTTAGTTGTTCTGAGTTTGCAGAGAGCACCCTAGCAACTTTTGTAACCTTGGTTATGAAAAGGGAATTATCATCAGTATAGTTTAGAAAAACAGTCTTTTTTTGGTACAAATGAGAAGAATGGAAGGGCATAATCATCAGTATAGTTTAGAAGAACGGTCCTTTTTTGGTACAAATGAGGGGAATGGGGATTGAACCTGAGACCTCTCTTACAGAGTCATAAGCCAATGTCACAGAACTATCAGGTAATCCATGTGGAAGCAGTAAAGAACAATAACCACTTAACCAGGGCTATACCTGGATGCCAAGCTCCCTAGTGGGAACCACAATCAGGGCCTGGACTGCAGACCTTTGAGTGTTAATAACCGAGAATATCCGCAGTAGATAAGCCAATGTTTTACCAGAACCTGTCTAGAGGATGAAAGAAGAATAGAATAAAATGATTTCATAAGCTTTGTCAACTTAAAAGCAAGCCCACTTAAATCAAGAGGTTTACAAATGCGGAAATGCCGAAATGGTTGTAAAAAATGAAATAATTTTAGCAATTTAGCACAAGGAATTTGCAATCCAAAAACTGGCACATTTCTAGCTACTTCCTATCACACAATGTCACCAACAAAACAAAAGCATAAAAGAGAAACAGTAATGGCAGAGATTACTAAATCGGAAAAACCAATCATGACTAGTAAACAAATTGTTCTTGTGAACATTACTTTTGAATTATGTTCTTTTCCAAAAATAAAGGTGCTATAACACTATAAAAGAGAAACCAGCCTCTTAGGTTCAGTCTTAATAAGAAAGTTGAGATACTAGATAGTATAATATCATAAATATAGTAAATTGGTAATAATCCAAAATATAGAGCACATATTTTATTGATAAACACTTTCTGAGGACAAAACTATTGACATATTTATAAACCCAATTCTGAAAACTTTCACCAATTAATATAAGTACAATGCTCTAAGAGAGTGCATTAACCTGAGCATGAAGCACACAATCACAGCCAGCAAAGAGAACGGGCAATGCTTCCTGCTGCACTTTGGTTGGCACAACATAACCAACCTCTTCCATTCTGCAATTTTCTACTCCCTTAATCACTTTTTTTATTCAGTTAAATAATTTTCACAGACTAACAGATTAAGTTAGCACAAATTAAATAAACAGAAAACACTATTACTGAATCTGATTTTACATTATTTTCAAAGAAAGTATATTCAATTTAAATAATTTTATTCAACAATCTGAGATTTTTGCATAATATAAATCCAAAGACAGAAAAGGATGACACTGTCAAATCCACTTCAAGTGACCAATTTTTGCCTGATAGAGTAAAAGAGATTACATCTTTAATTTCTTGTAGGCTCAATCTAGAGTATATTCACAAAAGATATGCTAAATTTTCATTGCTGAAGCTCCAAACTAATTCTTCTTTTTAATAGTCAGTTAAAGTTCTAAAATTTGAACAAACCACCCTCACCGGCATATGATGTGTTCAGGCACATGGCCTTGGCAGAGTTCTTGGAGTGTCAAGACACCCTCCTTCTTAGCAGTTTCAACTTCAATGTAAGAAGAGCTAAGAGAAGCTTTGAGCAGTGTGTGCTCACGCATGGAGTGAACCATACCATTCATACTGACAACAAAGGTGTGATTGGGCCGGTTGGGGTATAAATGATGTGGACCATGTACTCTGGCAGTCCATGAACGAGAGTTCAGCAGTGTGGCAGATAAACAGGCCATGTTGGAGCAATAGGGAGATCAATAATCAGAGACTTATCTACAGTAAGATACGCATCATTTACCCTGAAAATATTCAATAAAGAACTCCATAAATTAACCATCTACTAGTGTAAGTGAGATGCACAAGTTTTCTTGTAAGCTAATCTAAGACAATTTAATTTAGTTTAAATAACTTCAAAAGAACCCATAACTATAACATAAACCAACTGAAGCTCAACTCCATGTTAATTGAACTTTCATTAAATGAGTAACCAAATTCACAAATTTTCGTAAACGTAAAAGGACTTGTACATCACTCATATACACAATCCAATTGAACTATTAAAACAATTTAATAAATTCCCCCCCGTATTGAGAGATTTAGGCTGCTATTAATTCAACTCTCCAGTTTTCCTTTCTCTCGTCTTCTAATCCCCATTCTTTATTTTCAAATTGGAGAAATGTCTGGTAAAAACATTTTCTATTTATCTTTCTCCAAATTCCATTTCTCCAGAAAAATGGAGAATTTCTCTAAGTAAACCTAAGGTCCTAAACCGCTAAACCAGTAAACATACTATACTAACCTGTGATTTAAAAGAATACTTCGTAACAATTTATCAGCAGTATAGTAGTGGTGGTTTTGATTAGCAGACAGTGGATTAAAATATAGCATACCAGGCTCCAACAGATCTTCCGGTTAACCTAGCAGATCATCTGGAACGCCTACTGTGGATTTGCTGAATATATATTCATGTTTGGCAGAGATAAACTGGCAAAGATAGAGAAATCTTAGAGCATTCGTAATAGCAGAGATATTTTGTAATTTTTTATGAGTGTATAAGTGTGATTAGGAAAGAGAATAAAGAGGAGAAAAAAAAAGTAAAATTTATTTTAAAATTAAAAAAAATTATTAAAAAGGGTCCGTCAAGCGCACTTGCGCGCGTCACACAGGCGTGTGTACTGTATGCGTCAGCGTGGCGAAACGTGCACAATAGCTCAAGCTCCGCTGATATTTCTTTTTTCGTTGGGAAGAGAAATATCTCAAAGCTTGTAGGGTGAACTGCTCATCTCTCTCTTGTCTCTCTCTCCTCCATGTAGACAAGCAAACCTCAAAAATCATGAATAAACGGTGAGAAGCACGCCTTCCGTGCCAGCGGGCGCGTGCACTGCATGTGCCCGGTGGACATTTGCTGTGCACCAAACGCGCACATCTTCCAATTTTTTATTTCACATTGTCACTTCAAATTATTGTTTCAATATCTTAAGCTTGCAGATGAACCCATTTCCTATCTCTCCTACCTTCTCTCTCCAATTTGTCAGTTATTTCACCCCATTTCCTCTCTCTCCTACCTTCTCTCTGGCATAAAAGCCGGAGCGGAGGTGACTGCCACATTTATCCGAGAGTTAATTCTATTTTACGTCCTAAATTATTGGTACTAGTACATTTTTAGTTTTTTTTTTTTTTATTAGAATATCCACTTTTAGTAATAATTTTATTGTGACATGATCATTTTTAATCCTCCGTCAATAAAATCGTTGAAATGACATTTAATCCAAGTACATTTTATTTATTTTTTTGCAAAGTGGATTGACCCGATATATTTTTATTTTTACCTTTTTGAAAAAATTTCTATTTGAAGAACAAAATGCGTTGTATTAAGAAAATTTAAATGACCAAAAATAGTCATTTTACAATAATACTAAAACCAAAGGCGATATTCTGAAAAAAAAAAAAAAAACTATAAAAGTATAATGACACCTATAAATCTAGAACAAAAAATAGAATTAACTCTATCCATATATATATATATATATATCAAATAATTTAATATGTTTTTTAGCACGATTTTATCACTATTTTTGTTTAGGTGACGAGGGAAATATGCCGTCATTATCCAAAGCGGTGCACGGGATAAACCAGATAAACGAGTTTAGGTTGTTCATAGCAACTCAAATAAAAAATGCTAGAATTTAAACTCGTGACCTTGTGGTTACAAGTTTGTATGCTTAGTCAGTTCGATCGGGGTTATCCCCACTATTATTATTATGAAAAAATATTTGATGCACCGCCAATGTATATGTTATACACCGGTGGTGAATGAGGTGTTGTCACCTCATTAAAAATAAACTTTTTTATTTGATTAACAAAATCTAATATTTTTTCGTTTTAAACAAGTTTTTTTTTAAAGTATAAATTAATAAATTCATAAACTTAATCAACAAAATTAATAAGTATTCATCCAAACTACAAAATTTGAGCTCAAACTCATCATTTACTATATAATCAAATTAAATATAAATAAATTTTAATTTGAATTGTTTAACAAATATATTGATTTCATTGATCAAATTCCGAGTAAATTACACTTTTGGTCCTAAGACTATTGGGGTCTTGTTAATTTCAATCCACGACTTTCAAAACTAACAATTGAGTACCCTAACTATTCAATTTTTCTTAATTTCAGTCCTTCCGGCCAAATTACCGATAAAAAATAGCCGGAAAATTTTTAAAGGTAAACTGATGAGGGCAAATTTGTCTTTTTACATATATTTATCTTTTCCTTCCCTTTCACCTTCCGGGACCTCTCGCCGGTGCTTTCTCCTTCATTACCGCCAAGCTACCAGTACTCCTCCATGGGAATCATGCTTCAAGAACAATAATATTATGGGATTGGATTATTAGAATTACATAGCATAGCATTCATATTTCCAACCAATCAATTGATGGGATACAAGAAAACGTGTGGATTATTGGAGGATGTTGGACATGAGATTTAACAGTGACCAACTACTGTGAAATTAAATACAATGAATCTCCATCCCAATCCCATTATTGTCTTTTTTGTCTTAGTTAATTTGTCGTCCGCAGTTCTAAGAGAGAAGATCGAAATGGGCTCCTCGACGGCGGTGGACGGTGGGTTGGATGTTTGATTTTCTTGCCTTTACCGTGTGATTTCTTCTAGTTTGAAAAGGCTCAGCTCCTCGACTCCATGGAAAAGGCTCTTGGACGGTGGGTCGGTCGTTGGGTTTTGGGGCGGCAGACGGCTGGCTTTCCAACGTAACTTACCAATTGTTGTGTCGGAGAAGGAAGAGAGGAATAGATGTAAAAAGACAACTTTACCCTCATTAGTTTAGCCTTTAAAAATTTCCGGCTACTTTTCACCGGTAATTTGACCGGAAGGACTGAAATTGAAAAAAATTGAATAGTTAGGGTACTCAATTGTTAGTTTTGAAAGTCATGGATTGAAATTAACAAGACACTAATAGTCTTAGGACCAAAAGTGTAATTTACTCATCAAATTCCTTTGAGATTTTGTCATCTTTTTATGAAATCGATGAAATCAAGCACTACTAGGAGAAATAAGCACATAATTATGACCTCTAGTAAATTAGATATTGACTTGTTTGGTAAATAGCGTTTTGACCAAATTTTGGCAAATTTAACTACTTTTACAGTTTGACTTTGTCAAAACGTTAAAAATATTGTTTAGTTAATAGCGGATTTAGATAGCGGTTGAATGGCAAACCGCCAAATTCTCAAACGCTGCAAATTGCAGCGTTTTGCTTTGGTGGTTTGCAAATCCAATTTTGTTTCCTTTATAGCCCTGGGCAAATTGAGCATGAGACTCCCTTTTTTTTTTTTTTTTTAAGGGAGTCTCATGCTCCACTATTTTTTTTTTACTTTTATTTTTTATTATATTATATAAAAAATTATAAATATTAATAATATATTATTATTTAAAATATAATTAGATAAAATATTATATACTTAAAAATTGACAAATATTTTTATTTATCTGTTTACATATTTATATTATAGCCTTTGTCTTTATATATATACTAGTTTTTGACACGCATTGCGCGATTGGGATAATGCCCAATATTTTTTTAAATGAGTACTTTAAAGTATATAAATGCAAGATTATATTGGAATTGTTCATGCATAGATAATTGAATGTTGAATTTGCGTATTTAAATAGGTAATTCAAAGTTTACAAATGCAAGATAAGATAGGCAAGATTGATTATAATTGTCAATAAAATAATTGTATAGGTATGATTGGAACTAAATACGGGACATAAAGGAGAGCAAATAAAAATTAAGACATAAAATATTAAATATATACTAATATTGAAGAGCTAACTGCTGATTGCCAAACAAGGACATTGCGAGATAGTTTTCCACTTCAATTTGTTGTGTGATTTGAATACTTTTTTTTTTTGTCAATAAATCTCAAAAGTAGTTAATATGATTGGCTTAATTATATTTTTTAAAACTATTATTATTATTATTATTATTATTATTATTATTATTATTATTATTATTATTATTATTATTATTATTATTATTATTATTATTATTATTATTATTATTAAATATATGTATACCATTAGGTCATTTTTTCAAATATCTTTTTACCAATCGTTGAGATAATTCGCTGGTCAAATCCGCTAACGCTAACCCCTAACTGCTGATTGTCAAACAAGGACATTGCGAGGTAGTTCTCACTTTTTGTTGTGTGATTTGAATACCCTCTTTGTCAACAAATCTCTCAAGTAGTTAATATGATTGACTTTATTAATTATTTTTTTTTTAAATTTTTTCATGGTATTAATAAAATACTTGGTAAATAAATATATAGGATTATTTTGTATTATAACTTTGATATTTAATTAAAAAATAGTGCACAAAAAGATAATAGACAATGTTGTCATTTGTCAATATAATCAATTGATGAATTTGAATGTAAAGAATTTTTACATTAGAGAAATATAAAGACAATATAACTAATAAAATTATTTCACTTAATTAATTTATTGATAATGAATAATTTTTTTTTTAATAAAGACATTGTAGTGATAATGTAGCGAATATAATCAATTGATGAAATTGAATGTAAATAATTTTTATATTGGAGAAAAACAAAGACAATATAACTAATGAAATTATTTCTCTTATTTAATTTATTGATCATGAATAAAAAATTTTGAATAAAGACATTGTAGACACATAATTCTAAATTAAACAAATGCATATGTATTATTTTTTATTGTAAGTAATAAATTATTATTTAAATTTAATAAGAGTAAAATAGAGTACTAATTATGTCAACTTTAATTGGCATGAGGTTCGAACCTAAGACCTTTCTTATTGAAATCAATGAGTAAGTTAACGGTGAACTAACAGAAATTAACGGAAAACATAATATTTAACGGAAAAGTTAACAGAAAATCATATTCATTAAGGATAAATTAGGAAATCTTAAGGAAAATTTTAAATCTGATCAATCTGAGCCATTCATTTGATTAAAAAAATTGACCGCTATTTTTTCTACCCATTATAGGCCTAACTCTCTTTGGCTCTTATTAGTATAGTAGATATATATATATATATATATATATATATATATATATATATATATATATATATATATATATATATATATATATATATATAGACTATTTTTCTGGTGCAAACCATTAGTAACGTGTGAACTAGTGGATCAATCGGGAACATTGGTGTTTTAGATCGGACGGCACCAAAGTAGGCTACGCACATTGCTACCCTATGGGAACCGGCTGAAGGCGGAGTCATAGGCGGTAATTGAACGGCGTTACTCCCCCGCTTCGACCGGCGTCCACCAATCGACTTCGCCATGATCGCACGAGCTTACGAATAGGGTCACCGACGAGTGTTACAGTGAAGTGTCCTACGACTAGAATTCGGGTGTGGAGGTCCAACGGTATAACCAGTCAAATTAAGACTCCTTACGCTACTGTACAGTGTAATAGATAGTAAATGTTATTGTAAATTTTATT